TATCCCCTGTGTGCCTTGTCGACTCAGTTTATGCTATACGAAGTTATTACGTACCATTTTTGCTTCAATATTGAATAACTCGGTGAAAAAAAATCGTACAACGCTCAACAAAAAAGCAAATTGAAGGTAAAGATTCACTCTTTTGAAAGCAGTAAACTGCATTTAAATGCGACTTTTTATTCGCGCCATGGAACTTGTCAAAGTTCGTAGAAAATGATGAGATTCGTCGAGTCTCCTTTTCTATCCGTGTAATTCCATGAAAGATCAGTAGGATCGTTTTCTTAAGTATCGATTTGGAAAGTACAGATTTCAAGCTGTAAAATGCTCTTTTGATCATCTCGATACGATCATTTTTGACGAAGTTACACTCTCTTGAATTTTGCCTATTTTTGAAGAGTAGAGTAAGTGATGCTTTAATTTTGTTGAGAAGTGTAGAATCTTAATAATTTCGATATAATCTGACATACATATATAAACTTTAGTGTATGCTCTGATAGATAAAGAATTCTTCTACGAAAGCAAAGGCGATTTATTGATGTTATAGCTAAAAATGTAGACCGTTCCGACAAATGTTAAAATTAAAATTGAAAGTTCGTGCTTTCGAGCGTTAATGACCTCAGTGAGAAGCACTCAGGTACTTTGATGATGGAAGAAGTCGAGCGGGCGAGATCGAGCCAATCGCGTTACGCAGCAACGTGCTGCAACTCGGATGCGAAACACGGGACGCGACGCTGTGCGAAATCGCGGCATTGGCGATGCGCTATCATTAGTTAAGGGTAGAATTGCTTGTCTTAACAGGGCGACTCAGACGCGGAAAGCGATGCCGGCGTCGGTGTGACGTACAAGGTGCGTCATTCGGCGGCAGCTTCGTGCCTTGCAAATTGCGCCACCCGTGACAAGGGTGCATCTGCTGTGAGTAAAACGTCGACGTGGTGGCTGTTCTTTCCTTCCGATCGTTTTGTACACGTCTACCTTATTCTCCACATTTTCCGCCTGTACTTTACTATCGCTCTTCCTCTTTATACCTTTCTCTCTTTCTCTCTCTCTCTCTCTCTCTCTTTCTCTCACTCACACTCTGTCTGATGGACGTCCAGACTCGTCTGCCGCAGCACAGCAGCGCATGTGAAACGTTGTACCCTCAAGATCGATTATACACACATCAGGAATTCTTGATCGTCTTCGCGGAGCTGAAGACATTTTTATCTATTGTTTAGATTTAAGATCAATCGATTGTGGCGCTCAGCCAATATCGAGAAGGTGGCTTGTAACAATAGAGTGATAACTTTTGTAATACCATAAAAGCCGCGCGCGTTAAGCCACTTGTTGCATGTGAAGATAAATCTGCACATGTTTGTCCAATTGACTTTTTATTACTGCTACAATGCCTATAATTGACTTTACTATAGTGTTTGAACATTCACATGTGAAATTAACCGATCTTTCGGAAAGCTTATAAACCCACATTTACAACAAACATTAATTGAATTACAACAAGATCGAGAAAGCGTTCAACAAAATCTTTTATTTGCATTACAATGCCCTGCAATTCTTTACTTTATCCTACACTTTATAAAGAGCACGCGTAACCTCGAGTGCACGATGTTGAGAGATGTCACTATTTTATTACACGAAATTATACGATAAAAGATAAAGGTGGAATACATAATCAGTGTGTTATTCAGGCCACCTCGTTGATATTACCGATCGTCACAACGAGAATATCTGTCTCGAGCACGAGCACAAATTTACGTATGCTAATACTTTATTATTTCTTTCATATAACGCCTGCAGTATTCGGTGAGTCTCGGCGACGAGGCGCGCGACAATCATGCGCAGCAGATCGAACGGGCGGAGATCGCCAACTTGGTGCGCTCGCGGATGGAGTCGCTGAACCTGCCGGTCGCCGACTACGACGACGTATCGGAGAAGCGTAACAGCCTCTCTTACGTGATCATCAATCCGAGCTGTGATCTAAAACTCGAGGAGGGCGACATCGTCTACCTGGTACGTCCCAGCCCGTTCTCTGCGCAGAAGACCTTCGAGCGGCACAACTCCCGGCGCAAAAGCAACATCAGCTTCTGTTCGGCGCAGCTGGTATCGCAGATGAGCGCAGCGGTCGCGGCAGCGGGTCTTCAGACTGGAGGCCCGGGCAGTCGTCGCGGCTCCGGCATAGGTCTGGCCAGAGCGCCACCCTTGGGCACGACCAAGTCGAATTCGCTGTCTCTACCCGACAGCCCTACCGTGGCCGGCACCCTGCGTGGTCGGTCGAACTCGTTGAGAGTGGTCGACGATATCCTGCTTCGACGCAGCAACTCCCTACGACAGGGCTTGACGATGACGACCAGGCGAAAGAGCAGTCTGGAGGACATCGGTCTCGGCGCGCTTTCACACCCCTCCAACCACAATCCGATCAAGATCGCCTTGAACGGCTCGATCGGCCTGGAGGTGACACCGCCGGAGGAGGGCGGCTCGCAGGCCGGTGGAGGCGCCAGCAATACCGGCATCCTCGACGTCGGTCTGCCCTCCATGCCGGAACTCAACGCGGCCTTGGGACCCAGTCATCTCGGCGCGGGTCTCGGCGGCTCCTTAGGCGGTCTTTACGACCCACCCTCTCTGCAGGGCCCGATGGGCTCGCCCTGCCAATCGTCGCAGTTGCAGGGTACTACACAAGATCCGCAGCACATACAAGGGACGATAGTATGATATAACCTAATGTGGGGACGCAGGCTCTCCGGCGTGGCACGAAATAAGTGGCTGTAGCGTTCCCACATGACGTTTAATGTCGGGCGATATCACGAATGAACAGCAATCGTAACGGATCGATCGAGGATATTCCGAACGATGTATTTCGTGGGGCTGACCAAGCCGGATGGATGAGACGGCTGGAGAGCAAGGTGTTTTGATTAAATTGAACATATCGGACTGACGACTATTGCGAGTGTCGGAAGATATTCTGCAATAGGTAAAGTAAGTTGGGATGAGATTATTTCGACACATATTGGACTTAAGGCTGAGACACAAGATTTTTGCATAACGCTGCATAACGTAAGACATAAGAGAATCAATCAATCAGCGTATGAAATGAAGGACTCTGATTGGTTGATTTTCTTTATGTCTTATGCAGCGTTATGCAAAAGTCTGTGACCCTTAATTTTGACTTGTTAGAATTTATTTCTACATTATAGTTTTCATAGTAGAGTCCTCAAATGTAATTACATGAATTTAACAATTTTTATTGCAAGTTAATAACTTACAAATTATTAATACATGAATTTATCGTTATTAATACTCTGAATTATTTGAATTAATTATCAGTCAATAATATTTATAAAAATAAGTTTTTATAAAATGAATGATATTAAACGTTGAATTCTTTATTTTAGTTTGGATGTTAATGTTGTTGAATTATTCCCACCTCAATTTATAAATGGCAATTCTTTTTCATTTCAAAATGGCGCGATTTATGACATTTCGTGGATCTAAATGCCGATATATTGAATTGTGACTGTGATCCATTGAAATAATATTCTCTGAAGAGTATATACTTTCTATTTATGAAGAATCTTATTAGAAATCTCATTGCTACCACGATTGTTGATAAAGAATCGCGTCAATTAGAAAACCTATATGCGCTTCTTTGTTATTAGAAAATGATGTAATTATGAGCTTACGAGCTTCATATGTCGTGTTGTATCTTATTTTTATAATTTGTAACGTTCTTAAAACGTTTTGCTCTCTAGGTCGCCTCTAGCGTACCGACATCCGTTTTAACTACGACTTCATTCATCGGGCAGTAAATCGTGAAAAAAATTAGTGCTATAAGGCACTAGAAAAACGCTTCGTATGACGACGATTGACAAGCACATCCATATTTTTAATCACTTACGATCTAAACCTATAATTACTGCGAATTGATATCATTTTTTTAATTATAGGTTTGGGATTTGAAAAATATTTGTTTAAATTGAAAGTGTAACAAAAATTGTTGCAAATTTTATTTATTTTTTGACAATTTTATTTTAATCAAAAAATGAAGAAAGAAATTTTTTATTAAGAAATTGACTTACTTTACTTTTTATCTTACTTATAATTAATAACTCTTAAATTAAAATTACTAATAGATACTTGTCCGTCGTCTGTTTCATACGTTCTCGAGAATACATATACAGGAATGTTCTATATAGTGTACTACTCCTCGATACTTACCTAGCGTCGCGCTCAGCGGTCGAGCGTGAATAATTTTATAATAGAGAGAAAATTTACGGGGCGGAAAAGAGTCTATTATACATATATATAGAGATACGATGTATGACCATTTTAATCATATCACGCGAGAGTGCCGCTCACGCGAAAGTCATCATTATATCCTACGTAAATATAGGGGAAAGAGTATTTTAGAAAGATTTAAGTGCTTAGAACACGCCCGTATATTATCATGACATTTCGCGTGACTAATAAATCGTCAATGGATTTTAATGTCGAATCGCAGGACGATTGTCGACCTTCGTGACGACGCCAAGATTTACGGCCGATATACTTCGCAAACCAATATATATAGACGAGGAATCGTATATCGTGAAAATTAAGTGATAGAACGTACAAGAATCGATCGCAAAATGAATCGCACGAAAACCATTACTATACTGTTACCTTCTTCTTCAACTTAATTTACTTTCCTATTAGTTTTGATCCGCGTTTCGCGGATATTGCCCCAAGAGTCAGTTAACGTTAGCGAGTGAGCGAACAATTGTTCTCTTGATAATTCAACAATTCGTTCAATTAGTTAGTCGAATTTGAGTGAGTCGTTATTCGCGACTCAAGACAAGTTGCACTAGATTATAGTTGTCTGACTAACTGTGGGTGACATGCTTTCTGAATTTTTTCTGAATTGCCATCGTATATAGTGATGCCGATAGGATGGAAGTATAAAAAAGTTTAAAAAATGTTTAAAAAATTTCTGAAAGAATATGTGAAAGATTAATGATACAGTCCAAGGAAGACTTGAGGGCATCACAGTTAGCCAGATTGGTGCAACCGGCCACAATATAGGATGTAATCTTTGACGTGACGCCGCAATCGTGACGCTCACAGCCAAATGCAATCGTTCGTTGACCAATTTACACTTTTCTTCGACCAATCGAGTCATATTATCAAGTACTGCTTCGACATTGCTTTCACTAAGCCTAGTCAATTTGGTGCTGTTAAATACGCGATTAGAATTAAATCTATTTCACGAAACAACTTTTGGATAAATAAATAAATTATAATTGAAAGATTATTAATTTTATTAATTATTTTTTATAAATAAACGCTCTAATAAAACGTTGCAAATAATAATTACATAAAATAATATCTACTAGTTGCAACAATTGACTAATAAAATATTGATTTAATTAGATAATATTAAAAATTAAATTTAAACTAATTTTTAACTGTTATTTAATTTTTGCATTTTAATCCATAATTAGTCGTGAAATAAAATAAAATAATTTTTTACTACATTATTATCTTTGTAATAAATGCTTTATTTGTGTGGATTAAAACCAATTGTATTACTTACTCAATATACAACGCAATAACAGGTTTTACGGTTTTTAATCTAAAGTTATGTATTTAATTTGATTATATAACATTTAAAGATTAAGACAAAAGTTAGACATTTTTAAAAACACAAAATGGAAAAGTCGATTCGTGAAATAGAGCAGCTGTGTTCTAACGCCAAAGTAAATGTGATAATTCTTTCGGGCGAAGCCGAGATGAGATGGAAGCAGATTTTAAATGCGCTTTGTACAAAATCAAAATGTAAGATAAGTAATGCGCCGCAGTCTGCTTTCCGTCGGACTCGCTTCACACCCCGATTGAGATTATCAGAATTATGTACATTGAATTATCGCATTTTCGTCGTTTCTACTATTTGATCGAAGCAAAATCGGCCAATTTCTAACATTTGGTCACCCACGCATGTTTGAATCTTCTAATCAAATCGTTCTCTCTCACTCTGTACCGCTCTTTTCCCTCCGTTAACTCTTTTTTTTCTTCTCTTTTTGATTAGTGTTGAATTCTTCGGCGACAGTAACTCGACTTTTTATACATAGACATCACTTGAGCGAATTATCTTTCAGCGAAAAATAATGAAGAATTTTTTATATAGTAATTAGAATATATTTCTGCATTCTGAATATAAAGAACACAATAATCGCGACTTCGTATTAAACAATAATTGATTTAGAGAAACTCGACAGTATTGTAATAATTTTACCAAAATATATATTGACAGAGAGAAGGTCGCCCTACTACAATCGAATTATCGTTTCAACACGCTTTTATCTAAAATATTATTAGCAAGGTGAACAACAAAAAATACGTGGTTGTCATGTGGGGAGCCTTCTATTTCCAATTAAAAATTTATTGCTCAAATTTCAGAGACTTTTCCCTGGACTTTCTTTCCTTCCCTTTAAGGAGAAATTCCGCTAAATTTCAGAATACTTTCAAGTGATACAGCACGGAGAGAATTTTTTTTTTTAATTTACCATGCAAATCATGTTAATTGTGGGACAACGTAGTATTTAGGCAAATTTCACTGTGCACTATAATAAATTTTACTGTAAAATACTTATTGTAGTACACGATAAAATTTGCCTAAATATTATATTGTTCCACAATTAACATGATTTGCAAGGTAAATTTAAAAAAAATTCTCTCCGTGAGTGTATTATGAAATCTTCTTTTTATGTGGAAAAAGTATCTCGATGGAAAAATTATCATTGTAAGATTGCAGAAATGAATTTAATCCTAGGGATGCATCGAAAGCATCCATGTATCCTGATGATATTATAACGAAAGCGAGTAAAACGGTTATTCAAAGAGTATATATATATATATATATATATATATATATATATAAAACTTGTAATTATAATTATAAGATCAACCCAATATGATGTGACCTGACTCTTTATAGCTGAATTCAATAATCTATAGAGTATCACGTTACAATTTAACGCGGCAAAGTCATGGCGATCTCTCGCAAGAGAATGCTTATTTTGCTGCTCTCGAGGAAAATAGTTCGAATTACGTCTTGAATAAGGACGTGATCGATTCTGCGAAACTCTGCATGAAGCTCTTCTTACAATGTGCAAGAATTCAGCTTGCCCATGCAATTTTTGCACAATGTAAGATAAATACAACGATTTATATTACATGTGCAACGTGTATTTGACTTTTCAAAAAGCAGAACATTGAATTTGATTTTACTTATTCGAAATACATTTATTGCATCTTAATTTATACTAAAAGATATAAAATCCGCGAGAATAAAGAAAATACGAGTTATATTTAAAAACGTAACTTAGCATACAGATTGATAATTAATTAACCTTTTAAAACTTACATTTTTTACATACAAATTTATTGAAACTTGTATACAAGAGATTTTTGGGGTCATTGATTTTGAGTATGCAATCAGATTTTGAAAATTTTTAAAATTCAAAATGGCAAATCTGACGTGGCAGACACTGAAAGTGCAATGTCGATCATATTGGATTTATCATTTTGAATTTTTACTTTATATTCAAAATCAACGAGCAAAAACCGAATACCAAATTTGGTTTGATTGTATTAAATCCGACAAAGTTTTGATTTTGCCTGCCATCTCGTACTTTTCTAAAATTTCTAAATTTTGCCATCAGATTCAAAATCTGAGCAATCCCAAAATCATTTGGATATTCAAGTTTTAATATATCTTGTATAAGAAAAATTTTTTGTCATAGTACATTATTACAGAAATCAAAAATTTGTTGACCGTCGCGTCGCCCTGAGTATTTAACCGTTGTGAAATTTAAATTTTTTACTTCAGATTCGAATTCAGCTATTTATAATATTATTAAACATAAAATTACAAAGAAATCAGAGAGTATAAGAAATTCATTTTTTTTTATTTTTTTTAAAATGTTACATATAATTAATCTGTAACAATACATTTTTGTTAAGAGAAATTGAGCATACTTTTTTCCTATAGCAAAATTTCATAAAAAATTATGACGAAGAATAAAAAATTGAAGTATATTACTATTATTGATGATTCATAACTTTTCTCGTTCAATCCGTACGCTAATCAACATCTGAATTCATCAATAATTAAATTCCTTTCTTCAAGGTTAAAGTTCAACATCTTATAACAAGTTACTTATATTTGAAATTTAAGGCTATCTTTATGATATACAAATTATTTCCCACATTCGTGATGTAAAATTCGAAGAGCACAAATTTTTTTCCTTAATCTTTATAATCG